AGAAAATAAAAGAAGTAAGAGATATATACGCACGCTCTTTATATTATAGTTACGCGGCCGATATATAAGCGATACTATAACGGTTACTTAGCGGCAACCGCTAGTATAATAACTATTAACGTTATAGAGCATAGACTAACGTATACTTATACGGGCGTATACGCGCGATATATAACCGAAACTACCTCTCTTCCTAACCGAATATATATAGCGTAGCAAAAGTAATATATATTAAAGATATAGCCGAGGCGTCTATATAGGAGGGGAGATAATTATAAGAGCGCTACTAGGAGGTACGGGCTAATAAAGCACTTAGGTACGTAGTACTAATATATCGGTAGGGTATTAGTAGGGAATCGTGCCTACCCCGCTCGTATATTATAGACTACTCGCTACTCTAACTAAAGAGGAGAAATCCCTCTTCTTATAAGCTTTAGTCTTATAACGAGGAGAATATAATATATATAGCGTAGTACCTCTAGCTATCTCTACTACCTAACTAATCGTACTATAATACGTGTTCCCTTATAAAGGAGCTACTTAAGCGGATTAGGTTTACCTTTATTAGCTTACTTAGGGTCTTCCTTAGTACTAAGAGTTCCTTCCTCGATATATTATAAAGGGGTCCTTATAGTAAGGGGGGCTCTGCCTTATCTTTATTTAGTATTAGGTTAATCTTATAGTCTACCCCTAGCTTATATAAGGGTATCTTTAAAGCCTTCTTTAGTACGAAGAGGTCTAGGTATATATTTAGCGCCTACTTTAGGATATAGTCCGCTAGGTCTACCGCTATCTTTAGCTAGAGTGCTCTCTCTATATCCTTTATCGTAATCGCTTAAATATCGACTATCCTCCGCCTTTCCTTATTATCCCTTACCGCTATCTCCCTTTAATATTCCGCTATAAATATTACCGCGCTAACGATCTTTGCCCCTTAGATCTATTCTACCCTCCTTACTACTTCCGATCCTTATAGGCTAATCTAGATCTTAGCCTTACCGTGCCGAATCCGATCCCTTACTATATTATATATTACTTAGTTCTTCTTTATTTATAGCCTTCCTAGGAATATATCGTAGCTTAGCCTAGGGACTATATATATAAAGGTCTACTTTATATAGCTATTAATATCTATCTTAAATACTATAATTCCTTTTATCTATAGGGCTAGAGTATCTTTTAAGAATAGCCTTAGTTATCTTCTCCTCTTATTAGTAAGAGGTATCTATAGCTTCTTTACTACCCTCTTACTTACTATAGTATAGTAATTATAGCCGGTATCTATAAGCGCGTTAAGTCCTTTCTTCCTATTAATACTTACCCTTAGCGTTACTAGGCTTAGCGTAAGATAGTCCCTTATTAACTTTTAAGCTTCTTACTATTTCTCTTTTACCCTTAGCGCCTAACTTTATACTAAGGTTCCCCTTTTTCCGAGTTATTATTATCCTTAGCGTCCTTTTCTTCCTTTATTACGCCCGCCCTCTAGGGTTCCTATCTCCTCTTTTTATAATAAAGCGCGATATATCCTTTAACTCTATAGTTAAAGTACGTCTAGTTCTCTAGCTAGCTCTGCCCCTCCCTTTATCTATCTAGGGCGTTAATGCCGGTTATTAAGGTATCCCTATCTTTATCCTTCCTTTCCTAAGGGTATATATCCGCTAGTCTCCTTTAGTTTAGGGGGGGTTATCTTATTTACTAGACCCTCTCTAGCTTAGCCGCTATTTACGCTACCTAATTAATATAAGCGGTAAAGCTTAATATAGGGAGGTCGACTATAGCTAACGCCTCGCGGAGCTAGATTCCTAGAGCCCTCTTTAGGAAGACGATCTAAACGTTATATAGCTAGGACCCGCCCCTAGCCTTAAAGAGTCTCTACTTAAACTTTAAGAGGAACGCTATAAACGTTTAACTTTCCCCTTATTTTATTATTTAGATTACCGCCGCCGCGTATAACTAGATATCTACGTTAAGGTAGATTAAGTTAAGGTATTTTAGGAATTCCTTTTAATTATAGCCCCTCTTTACCCCTATTTTATAGTATATAGCGACCGTTTATTATAGCCTAGCATTTAGGTAATTATAGATAAGGTAAAAGATTTCCCTTAAGCTTAAGAAGAATTCTTCGTCGATCTTATACTTCTCCTATATATATTATGCCTATAGGGTATAGTGCTATCGTTATCCGTTAAATTTTCCTAGGCTTAGGAGAGGCTTCCTATAGCTATTCTTCCTTACTACCTTCCCCTTAGTTATAAGCGTCGCTGCCCCCCCCGTTGCCCTTAAAGGCGGCATTAAACCACCTACTCCGCCCCTAGCCCCCTCTTACGTGCCCGTCTATATTAGTTTATCTATCCTTTAGTATATCCTTTTAATCTAGCCGATTAGTTCCTATATCTATAGTTAGCTTTATATTACCTAATGCTTTATCTCTACCTCTCTTACTTATAGCGAGAGTATCGCTTACTTTATTATTAGCCGGGCGTCTAGCCCTCCTATTACTACTCCTTACCGTCCTTAGGCCTATTCTCCCTCCTCTAGGTCGTCGGGATATCTATATTATATCCTTTTAGTCCGATCTCTCTCCGGGCTTTATAGCCTTATTTAAAAGGAGCTTTAAATATATTAAGGGCTAGCGTATACTTACTATAGTAGTATAGGGCCGAATAATTATTTATCTAAAGCTAAGGAGAAAGGAGGAAAACTCTATCCTAGTCGCGACGGTTATCCGTCTTCCCTAGTCCCTAGCTCGACCCGTATTTAGGTGCTATTTAGCCTAAGTTCGGGTCGAGCTCTACCTATACGTAGGTTTACTTTAGCCCGACTTTAGTACGGTCGCTATAGTATAACCTTAGCCTTCTATAGGCGTAGCCCGTAATAGTATATTATATTAGTAATAAGTTAGAGGTTATAGACTCTTAGGTCCGCCTAGCGTTCTATATATTAGCTCTCTATATTATATTATAGGGCCTCGATTCCCTTAATTATCTTATTCCTACTTATTACTATTTATTATAGAAAAGTATAAGTAATAAGCATAGGATCGGGTAATCGATAATATAAGCGGAAAGATCGGTCGAAGGGGTATAGGGTAGGATCTCGTCCGGAATTTATAACGAGTATATAAGGGGCTAAATAATATATTAAAAGAATAGCGTTATAAAAGATACTTACTAACTTACTTATTCTATTTACTACTCTTAGGGAAATCCTTCGTCTTTTATAGACTATTGCTCGCCTACTAGTAGACTAATTAGTCAGCTTTCTAGCACATTCTATAGTGCTTAAAAAGCTCTATCTATAGCATGTCTTCCTAACTTAGTAGGTGGTCTGATTGTAACGTGATAGTTAACGTAAGACTATAGGTTCTAGTATATATAGTAGATTTAACTATAATGTTCTATGCCCTACCTATTCTCGTATCGCGGATATCTTCGGAACCGCTAAGCTAAAATAGGTAATAGGGTATTCGTTCTACTCGTAATTGACTTATGCATTTTATGCATATTTTATTTTATTAGGATAGGCTTATCTTAACCCGCTCTTCTTAAAGGAAGGTATAGATGTCTAGTAGAGGTCTTTGTCTTTAAGGGTTATTCCCTTAGACTATATTATAGAGCCTCTTTTTACTAGCTTATTCTATAGAGCCTCCCTATGCCTGTTATTTCTTTATAATAGTAAAATAGGAATATAAGGGTATATTCTTATATCTATATATAAGGTAGTTAAGGATCTACTTAAGAGCGTTATTAGGGTTAGTCTCTTAATATAAGTCTATCTTAGCTCCTAGGTTAAGACCGAGCTAAATACTCGCTTAATAGATATAAATCTCTATAAAAAGCTATAGGTTAGTCGCGATTACGCTATTACTAATAACGTAGGCCGCCGGAAAGCGCTAGGCTAAAGCTAGGCTAAGCTACGATTATTATATTAAAAGCTCTCGCCCTATATTACTAACGTATTAACTTACTACGCTTACTTATAAAGTAATATCGGCTCGTTAAGGCGTTAGCCGCTACTAATCGTTTACGCGTTATAAGGGTCTCCTAGGTTAACTATTAAGGTAGTCCGAAAAATATAGTATTTTTACTATTAGCGAATAAGTTATCGCGTTTCTCTAGGTCTCTACGCTAAGGACTATTCTTAATAATAAATAACGCTTATATTCTTTCTAAGAAATAAGTAAATAAGAAGATATTCTAATTAAATAAAGGGATTTAAGGGGATAATAAGAGATCGATTCTAAGCTTATAAAATAGTCTAAAATAAGGTAGTTAGTAACTATTTAACGCTATTTAGTTATAAGAGAGGGCTAGGCTTCGACGCGAGAAGAACATTTAAGCGGAGCAACGGACGAATACGTATAGAGATATAAGATACGTTAGAAGGAGCGCTCGCGGGACGGACGCTATAGCGCGAGAAATAGGCCATCTCGGCGCAAAATAAAGAGGTCGTTAAGGTAGGATTAGCCGTAAGCGGGAATGCACGAAGATAGGATGCCTAGTAGGGGGATAACGGCTAAAGATGAGGGAGGCGACGGGAGAGAAAGGGGAGGAGAGAAGTCTAGAGTATAAGAAAACGGGGAGGATGGAGGTCGGTCTATTTATACGGCTCATGGAGGGCGGGGCCCGGAGGAGGGCGCCTAACCCGATCGGGGATGCCACCATACCCGGCGGGGACAACAGCGTATTCCAGACTACAGATAAGTAATCCCGCCTCGTAGAGGACGATTCAACGCTGCTAACATTGCCTAGCAACCAGGCATACGCACGGCTAGGAGCGGCCGAGAGGTATTGAGACAAGCCACGGATGCTAGATCCAGCCTATTTACATACCGGGAGAGCCTACGCAGCCTAAGGGAATACAATCAACCTCGCCTTCTCTAATATCCCGCTCGCGTATTAAAGAATACTTACATTCGGGCCCGGACGATAGTACGTTGAACTTTCACGGCATAGTCAAGTACGGGCATAGTTCAAGTCTAGTCGAAACCAGCTATCAGCTTAGTGATGGAAAATCCGCTTCAAGAATTGTCTCGTCACTGTCGTGTAATCATACGTGGCGTCGGCGCCCTTGTCGAGCAGCAGCTGAACAACAGCCTGGTTGCCTTTGGCCTTGGCATGCTGCAGTGGCGTCCGAAGCATGCTGTCTTTTGCCTCGAGATCGGCACCTCTGTCGAGTAGCAATCGAACAATAGCCTCATGCCCGAGCGCGGCAGCCCTTGCGAGCGGCGTCTGCTTGCTCTCAAAATCATATGCTTCGATGTTGGCGCCCTTGTCGAGTAGCAACTCAACGGAACCCTTGGCCCCCTCCTCAACGGCCTGGAGGAGCGGCGTTCGCCTATCGTAGTCGATTGCCTCGACGTTGGCGCCCTTGTCGAGCAGCTTCTTGACGAGAGCCTCGTTCCCGTCCTTGACGGCCTGGAAGAGCGGTGTTCGCTGAAAAGGCCCTCTTGCTTCGATGTCGGCGCCTTTGTCGAGGAGCAACTCGATGACGGCCTCATGCCTGTTCCTCATGGCCTGTAAGAGCATCGCCCGACTGCATTCATTTTTGACTTCCACGTCTGCGCCCTTGTCGAGCAGCAGCTTGACGATGGCCGCATGTCTGTTCCTCATAGCCTGTAAGAGCACCGTCCGACTGTATTGATTTTTGACTTCCATGTTGGCGCCCTTGTCGAGCAGCAGCTTGGCGACGGCCGCATTCCCGCCGTCGACAGCCCGCATCAGCGGCGTCATGCCGTTTGCATCCCCCGCTTCGAGTTCGACGGCATTCTGGGTTCGGGATAGCAGTATCTTGACGACAGCTTCATGGCCACCCATGACCGCGCGCGATAACGCACTATGCCCGTCGTCGTCATTTTTGGAGGAAGGGCTGACGTCGCTTCGTGTTAGTAGCAGCCAAACAACCTCGTCGAGTCCGCGTCGTATCGCCCGTGACAGTGCGCTTGGCTGTCCAAAAGCCATTATTTTGGTTAAGCTGTCATTGTCGTATATATCCTCTTTAGAGATGCCATTATCCTTTTCTGCATGTCTTAAACTGCGTGTCGGCGTCAAGCGGCCTCTTTGGATACACACCCTTCTCACGGGACACTGCGCCGGTCTAAATTTCAATAGATCAAGCCGCTCCAGCTTTTCACTCCATACTCTTTCAAATAGCTCCATAGTCAAGGACACGTCTCGCACCCAGATGGCGGTCGGTTCATCTTTGGCACCCCTTTCCTTGCAATGCAGAACGACGACGCCTAATCCTCGACGTCCCCTGCCGATGAAACGGAGTTCTAGGTGGATGCCACTGCCACTCACGGTAAATGGACTGTTAGGCGTGTCTAATGGACTGAACGGAACAATGTTATTAGAGCCGGCAAAGGCAGCTGGAGAGGTAGCCAAGAGTCCGCCGCGGGTGTCGGGGGCTCTCCATGCAAAGAGGCTATAGTCGTCCGAGACTCGCATGATTTCCTCCTGGAGCCTTATGAAGGCCCTCTCCCCCTCACCATAAATGAGTGGCATGTTGATGCTGAATAGGCCCATCAGGCAGTAGGCTCCATCTTCAACCCGAGTGGTTCTTCTCCCAGCAGCCCAGGACATTCTCTGGGCAATGCTGGCCGTTTCGGGGTCGTCGTGTCCAGAGAGGATGGCGACCGGAATGCCTGTGCAGTCGGATAACACGTGCTGCAGGCTTTCCTTGGTTCCTAGGTCCTTCCAGTCCTGGTTCAGAAAATAGACTTGCGGTGGCGCAATGAGCTCTTGCAAGGTCCATCCCCGAGTCAACCACCTGCTCTCTGCCAGGGTAGACTCAGACTGCACATCGGCGAGATGGGCGTAGCATGTCTCGGCCTTGAAGTACCAGAGGTACATGGAGTTGATAGCCTCAGACAACTCGGCGCTGCTCGTCTTGTCGATACAGCATGTGTCGACCCAGAGATAGTCGAAGCCGTCGGCCCTGGCTCTGATGCAGCATTGGCTCACTTTGGAAAAGCCCGTCTTGCTTGACGCTCGCCCTCCTTGGACGTCCTGCAGGCTGACCTCTCCCTCACCCCAAGTATGTGACAGGATGGCGTACTTTGGGACTCGGTCCTGCACAAACTCTATAACCTCGAGTCTGTCCGTCTTGAGCAGCCGCATGGTTCCGGGCAGCGTGGATCAAGGCCCTGGTTGCCGGCGGTGGAAGCTGGAGGCTTGGTGTGTCGAGACTCGGGAGGCAGATCAGGTTTTGTACGGTCCCGATATCTTGCGGCGCTGTCGATCTGTTCAGATAGCCTGAAGGGGGCTTGGAAGGGTTGTGCCTTGGCTGACACGACACCTTTTTGGGCGGAGGTTGGGGTGGCACGAGAACAATGCGGCTGACGTCTTGTACACATTGGAGGGATATTATCGGCCGCCAATCGAACGGAATACCGGTCTGGTGTCTCAGTGCAGGCGTCCGTCAGGATCAGTCGATAGTGCCTGCACCCAGGCAACAAGTGCGGTGGCGTTTTCCAGGCCTTGCATGACTTGCAAGAAGCCGGGCCTTGTTCATGGGGTTAAGCACTTGCATTTCGAGTTCCGCGAAACGAATTCCCTCGATGACGATTGTTGGGATGCCGAGCACTATACGCTGCGACAAGTTCCTTCGAGAGTCGACTCTAGTTCATTACTACGGATATATATAGGCCGGCGCAGAAGAACAGGCACACACAGGCAGGCAGGCAGGCAGGCAAGCCGAATACCCATGGAAAGAGGAACACGCATAATTAGTGTATAGGTATTTTAGGGATGCTGTTTGACCAGCATTTCTGAGCAATTTCCGCTGCATCGTGCTTTCTTGACAAGGACACAGCAAGTCCGTCCGCTGTCACGCATTCGCGCCCAGTCAGCATCACACATTTACTGATAAATGAAGTAGAAGTGGCACCAGTTCTTCAATTCGTCGTGAGGTCTATTCCCGGTTTTCCATGCTTCGGATGAGGGCTTTCCCTGCCTGTTAGCGTTTACTCCGTACGTAGGCAACACTTCTCAGGTTACGACACTAATTAATAGACACACCATCCCGACCCCGAATGCTACCCTTGATATCCTCTCCGAACTAATCATCAAGCCTTGGCCGGCGTTGTAGTGACGTGTTGAGACATTAAGCTATATTAACACGGCGAGTTTAACGCGAGGTTCCGTCGGGCCTAGTTGAGGGCGGCCAAGGCGATCCCGGCAACGCCCAGAGCCACCTTGATGGCGCCCGTCTCCCTTGGCGCAGCACCTTTTTGTGTCTGTGTCGCGCCCTTTGGCTTCCCCGTAATGTCGGCCAGCATTGACGGGCAGACGTCGGCCAATGCGGACGAGATCCCCTCAACAGTAGAGCATTCGGACCACATGGATTGTACATCGGGAGTGATGCTTGACCAAAGAGCGGCCATGGAGCTTCCGATTTTGGTTACCTCGGACCCCAATGGGCCTGTGATGCTTGGCCCGCCCGTGGCCGAGCACATGTCGCCGCTCGGGGCGGTGGTGATCTCCGGGTGTTCGGACAGGTACGACGATAACTTGGAGGTAAATGTCGGCTCCAGGAGAGGGCTCATGCCGCTCGAGATTTTCGAAAAGACCTTCTTGGCAGAATCGGAGCACGACCGGTCGCTTCGACGGCCCAGAGCCTTGTCCCCGGTGGGCGGCATTGCGATGGTGATGACGTTTTGTACAATAGCAATGGGCCCTGACAGTTGGCCTGCAAGGTCGGCGCTTGCAACCGAAGCCGCAGTCCCGAGCAGGGCGAGGAGAAGCGTTGAGGAATGCATTGCAGAGGGTTGTGGTGACAGAATCTTGGTGGTGCAGCGCCGAGAGGTGGGATGGGGCCGACGCTGGGGAATTTATATCTCTTCCTTGACAGCAATCTCATCTCCCAGGCCGACTCCACTCGACCCAGTGTCACGCTCAGCTTGTTTATGCACCAGCGCGTAAAGGGTAATTAAAGCCCGGTCCGAAAAGCCTTGAAAGGGCAGATGGGTCATGGGTGGCCTCGTCGTCTTGTCCAACCAGCCCTTTCACTCTTCCACTAATGACTTCTCCGGGCCGTTCTGGAAGCTGTGGAAGAATACGGTGGCCCAAGTCCAATTCAGCACTGTACGGGAGGATGCCTACCAAGGTTGGCTCTGTTGCCAAGTCAGAAAGGGTCCGAGACAACATGCTTGCTGCCGCGTGCTATTCATGGAACAGCCAATTACATGTATGTAACTACGGGCGGAGTAATAATACGGAGCCCTCCGGGCGGACAAGGTTGCATGATTGTTGCATGCCCGCGGCCCCCGCGGCGTTTGTTGTTGTCGCCCGTCTCCACGTCGATCAGCGTCCTGTTATTTAGCATGGCGAGCCCCTCAGCCATGTATTGGAATACCCATGGACCACGCTGACATCTGTACATATCCCAAGTTGCCCGGGACGCTTTGTGACGTGCGGTTTTGTCTTGACCCACGCGTCCGTGTTGACTGCCCTCCGCGCCGCTCCGTCGACTCCCCACAGGTGGGTTTGTTCCTCGTTGCCTTGCGCTAGGACCTGCCCGGATGACCAGGTCGCAGGCAAACGCCCGTCAGATTCGTACATGTATGTGCAGCGTCCATTGGGACACTATCGAGCGCCCAACCCATGACGGCCAGCACCATTGGACTCGGCTCTCGGTGAGACTGGGGCTGTACGCCTTTATACAGTAGACACGGCCGAGAGCTCGACGATCCGTTGGCCAGTATTTACTCTTGCAAAGTGCAAGCGCCAACAGCTACCCCGTACACTGGCCCCCAATAAATTGAGCCATGTTTCACTCACTCAGTTTGTTTGCCTCTGCCCCCCACCTTGTCATACACACATCTCGGTTATACCCAGTAGTTCAGGTTCAGTTGACAGCGAGCCCAGCGGCTACAACCCAACAAGCCTTATCAAGACAGAGTAGGAGCCGACAACCATGTAAGCCGCTGTACCTGCAAATCCCACCATTGACCGGCTACAGGCCACGGATTACTTAAAGGGGCAACGGGGCCAAGCGGGGGAGAAGCTGGTGGCTTTGCAGCTGGGAAGCACCCGCCAACCTATCATGCCGCCATTCTGACGGTGTAACTGAATCATGCATTTAATAGCTGCACGTTTGACTTCTGGGCGAGGCATATGTAATGATAAATAGCCCAGCTTTCGTTATGCTTTGGTCACCCGTAACAATTTCATCAACTCCGTGCAGACCCTGAAGTTCAGCCCCGGACTCGACTCCTTTCGACTGCGATACGCCATGTCCAAAAGGTACAATTGGTTCAATCCCCAGCTGAGCGAACCAACATACCCCTTCGGTGATATATACGATGAGGAAAAATTATTGGATAGGTGTCGCGACAGCTGGCCAGTGTTGCAAACGTAAGTCCTCTGAATGCTAGCCATCAATGCCCTCCAGAGGCCAATGGTAGCTGATGTATCTGTAGGGATGGAGAGAATCGATATCTTAGCCATGTCAAGAAATTGACTTCTGCGTGGCCGCATCTGCAGATTCTTTCCGACTTTATGGACACGACCGTGACGCCAAAGCGGTGGAAAGACTTTTTCGATCCCCCAAACAAGAAGACAGAGGCTGTAAAGTGGAAGAAGATCGCGATTGAGGAGCACCAGCTGAGCCGAGCCAAGAAGACAAGGGTGTGCAGGCTGGACTATTACGCCGGTGGTGAACGAAAAATTCACCCTTGCGATGACACAGATGGGCTGCATGCGCTCTTCGACGATGGTGCAGAGACCGACGGGCAAGAGGAAGGAGCCAGACTCCGACTGTTTGTTGTCGAAGACCTCTCACGAGAAGTCATCGAGAAATTTGGTTCAAAGTTCGACGTTGATCCCTCATTCTTCCGGTCACATCTTATGGACTATGTCTGGTGCAACATTCGAGACTTTTGGAGGGATCCCCCGAATCTCTACCTTGCCGCTCAACAACAGTCTTGGTTCCAGCTTCGTTTCGTAATACCTCGGTATTTTACGACCCCGGACTCTTTCGAAGCAGGGACCAGCGAGGCGGAAGCGTTCAATGTTTTTAGACGGCTGGACGATGACCAGAACAGGAGTCGCTGGGATGAGGAGGCAATCGTGGGCATTATGAGGACGAGGGTGTCCTTCTGGCTACGCCCTGTGGATGAGAAGCAGGCAGAGAACCCTCATCGAACTGATATCGGTAGGTGCCCACACCCCGTTACGTCTCCCTGCGGTGATAAGTAAGGCCGTTGATCTCTTGCTGACTTACTTTCCTCTTTTCAGGTATCCTCCTGCTGGATCCTACCATCGAGCAGGGACTGCCTCTCTGGCGCCACTATCGCAACTGGAAGACGCCTCCGCCCATGAAAGGAGGGGAGGGTTACAATGAAGAGAACTTTGAAAACCGAAAAACCTTCTTTGATGACTTCATCCACTGGGCCAAGGCTCCTCAAGTATTCGACGGCCGGAAGGGCCCTTCGCCATCCCCCAATGGCGATTCTCTATCGCCAGAGAAGCAACGGTGGGCAAACGCTGGCCTTCCGCTACAATCTCTCCTGCACCGTATCTGCTCCGAGTGGCTGACCATGGCCGACTATGTCAAAACTCGACTCAACCAGGTCGAGTTGGAGGTGTCCAGCCCAGAACACTTCCTTGCCAACGGCACCCAGATCGACAGTGTCCTGACAAAGTTGCACACCTGGAGGCGATCCGTCCCAGTTTACAGGGAAATGCTGGAGGAGACACTGGAGACGGTGTTTGGGATCTCCTCGCGGTTATCTATGTTGCTGGGCGGTAGTCTTGACGCATCTGACCCTAAGTGGAATCCCGGGAGGGGGACAACCTGTCTCTGTGTTGGCCGGCCGGGCAACCTGACAGGCGATGTGGAAGGAGTCAGTGCCTACCGCTACGACTTTGCCTTGGCCTTGGCGCACATGGAGGAGCACCAGAAGCGCATCGACCGGCTCGCCTCCATCGTCACGGCAGCAATCAACATTGAAGATGCGCGGCGGGGATACACGGCGAACAGGAATGTGAACCGGCTGACCCTCCTGGCGACCCTCTTCGTCCCTCTTAGTCTTGTCGCTTCGTTGCTTTCGATGCAGCCGGGCGTTGAGCAGTTGAGAAACACGGCCGTGCTCTGGGCTGAGATCGCGATCCCGTTGGCATTCGGCGTCTGGCTGATCGCTAACACCCTTAACTCGGCCTGGTTCCAACTCCGGACGCAACCTCTGCGGGACAGGTTGAAGGGTGGGCCGTGCTCCTCTCGCAGGGGCTGAACATGGAAGGTAAGAGTCAAAATATTAATCGAGGTTTGTCTGGACTATCTAAGAAGAGGCGGGGATCGTCTCCTTATTCATAGCTCGATAGTGCTCGGGGCGTACCGCTACTAAGGCCATCCTGAGTTTAATAAATTAGTAAATAGGTCGATATTATTAATATTAGGTGGATTTAATAATCCTTAAAGAGCACTTAATAATATATATATAAGAAAAGGCGTAGACTAGGAATAAAGAGATAAAGAATATACCTTTTTACTTATTGCCTTCTAGCCTAAATAAATATTAAGGCGAAAAAATATTATTACGTTATCTTAGCTAACTTTTTAAAATAAAGCCTAAAACATAGGAAAAGCATACGCCTAGAATCCTCGCGAATAGTATATTACGCCCCTCTAAGTATAGCCTCGCTTAGCTACTAGCGGGTGCGTAATATACTACTAAAGATTATAAACTAGGCGAGGTTTTCCCTTATATAGGTAGAAAACTCTTCCCCGACTTCGCTAACTAAGGGTATATGCCCCTTACTAACGGGACCTAGCCTAGACCTAACCTAGGACCCCGGCCTAGGCCTAAGGAGGGCCCTTATAACCCCCCCCCCCCTTTAACCTAAGGGCCGAAATAAGTACCTTAAAAGCTAGGGCCCGCTTAAGAGAAGCTTTAAAAGGCTAATACCTTTTAAAGACCTTAGAAGAAAGGCCTAAGGCCTAAGACTAAGACTAAGAGGATACTAAGATAAAAGATAATACTTAGCTTATATTAAAGACTAGCTTTTTTAGGCCTAGCCTAGCCCTACCTTAAGCTAGCTACTTTTAGCTTAGCTAGCTTTTAAAGTAAGTAATAAGGTATAAGAGAGCTACCCTTAATAGCCTTATTAGCCTTATACTTATCTAACCTATATTTTAATACTTATAGTAGACCTAGCCCTAGCCTTAGTATCCCTTTCCTAGGGACTAGGCCTAGGGCTTCCTTTAGTAAGCCCTCTAGGCCCTTAAGGAAGCCTAAAAAATTAAACCCTTTTATAATACCCTTATAAAAAGGCTTAAGAAGGTAGCTATAAGGACCCTAGACCGCTAATAGCCTTAGTAATAGCCCCCGTACTAGCCTAAGGCCGCTTAGTAGCCTAAAGCTACTTAAGGAAACCTTAAAGCTAGCTCGTAAGCTAAGGTTACTATAAAAAGGCGCCTAAGGCTCTAGCTAAGGCCCTAACTAAGGCCTTAGCTAAGAGGAAGGTAAAAGAGAACTTTTAACTTATCTTAAAGCTAAAGAAAGGATCGCTAACGCTAACTATTAGACTTATTACTCTTTATAGTAAGGTTAATAAAGCTATAAGAGAACTAGCTATATTAGCTCTATTAACTTTAAATAAAGGTAATATAGTTATAGTAATAAAGGCCCTTTTTATAGTAAAGAAGCTTTTAAAGTAATAAGATAAGTAGTCCTTATACCTTAAGGGGATACCTATTAAATCGGCCGACCTTCTTACTAGCTAGACTAAGCTAGTAGTATAGAGCGTCCCTAACCTCTTAGAAACCCTTATCTAAGATATCTTTGCTATAGAGGCTAAGACCTATAGCGGAATTAATATCCTAGGGCAGCTTAGGTAGCTAGGCACCCTAGGCCTAATATAAAAAGTAGGATCCGTTATCTTTATAGTCTCTTTAAAGGCTATAAGAGCTAAATAAAGGAAAAAAGGCCTCTATATAATAGGTCTATAGATTTAGGTTAAGGCCTATAAGGAATATATTATATATATATAGTATTATAGGTGCCTTTCTTTTAGCTATAACCCCTAGACCTACCGGCAGCCTATTAAGTATACCTTTTACCTAGAAAAGTACTTAACTAAGGATTACGGCTGCCTTAGCTATAAGGCTAGCTAAGGCTACTCTTACTTTAAGGTTTAATACTATAACTATAAAGGAGAGTACTTTATAACTATTAATAGATATAAGTAATAAGTATAGGATCGGGTAATTAATAATATAAGTAGAAGGATTAGTCGAAGGGGTATAAGGTAGGATTTCGTCTAGAATTTATAACGAGTATATAAGGGGCTAAATAATATATTAAAAGAATAGCGTTATAAAAGATACTTATAAACTTATTTATCCTATCTACTACTCTTAGGGAAATCCTTTGTCTTTTATAGACTATTGCTCGCTTACTAGTAAACTAATTAGTTAGCTTTCTAGTATATTATATAGTGCTTAAAAGCTCTATCTATAGTATATCCTCTTAACTTAGTAGGTAGTCTAATCGTAATATAATAGTTAACGTAAGACTATAGGTTCTAGTATAAGTAGTAGATTTAACTAGAATATTCTATGCTCTACCTATTCTCGTATCGCGGATATCTTCGGAACCGCTAGGCTAAAATAGGCAATAGGGTATCTATTCTACTCGTAATTAACCTATGCATTTTATATATATTTTTATTTATTAGGATAGGCTTATCTTAACCCGCTTTTCCTTAAGGAAGGTATAAATATCTAGTAGAGGTCTTTTATCTTTAAGGGTTATTCCCTTAGACTATATTATAGAGCCTCCTTTTACTAGCTTATTTTATAAAGCCTCCCTATACTTATTATTTCTTTATAATAGTAAAATAGGAATATAAGGGTATATTCTTATAATAACTAATAATATATAATATAGAGTTTATAAGGAAATAACTAATACTTAATAGCCTTAGCCCCCTTATATTTATAAGGCCCTTAGGGCCCCTTAGCTCCCCTAAGCCTAACTATAACCCTATTAGTATTATATAGTATAATACTAATAAGTAGGAAATAGCTAACCTATTAATCTTAAAGTAGGCCTTAGAAATAAAAGCAGACCTTATCTTATTATAAGAGCCTTACCTTTATAAAATTAATAATAGCTATATCCCTATATAGTATTTAGCCTATAACGTTATAACCCTTATCCCTTCTACTAACTTTCTTAAGCTTACTAAGAGGCCTAAGGTTATAGCTTATAAGAGGAAGGAAGCTTAAATAAAAGCTAGCCCTAGCTTTAACTTCTTTTACGATCTTAATATATAGGCTATAAAGGTAAAAGGCGCTAAGATATTTACCCTTATTAACCTATATAATAAAAAAGAAGTTAAAGGGGCCTTAGCTAGCTAAGGCTAGTAAGGGCCCCTTATAATAAAAAGGCTACTATTAATAGCCTAGCTCTTATAATAGCCCTTCCTACTAATAAGGGACTTTAACTTATACTACCTTTATTAAAACCCTTTTATAGAACCCTTTAAAGCCTATAAGGTAGAAGCTCTTATTAGCTAGCTAAACCGCTATAAGGCTTCCTTACTAATAGACCTTAAGGTAGCTATAAAAGGCACCTATTAAAAGAAAGGCTTAAAAAGGGCCTTAGTTATAGACCTTACTTTTTATAGCCCCTTTAAATAGCTAACTTATAATAACTAGTATTATTCTTAAGGGATAAACCTATAAAAGGGTTTATATTAGTAGATATAATAAGGTATAGTCTAAGTAATAATAAGTATATTACGTTAGTAATAAGTTAAAGGTTATAGGCTATAGACTATATCTAGGTAATTAAGTAATTAGAATTAAAGATAAGATTATAATAAAGATCGGAATAATTATAATATATATTAAAAGCTAGAGAGCTATCTATTTAAAGGAGTAAAAGTAGGTAGCTATATATACCTATAAAGACTATCCTTAGATTATAGGCCTAGCTATAATCCCTAATATTAAATTGTATAAAGTATAGTAATCTTATTAATCTTAGATTACTTAGATCTCTATAATCCCCTTAATCCTATATTTATTAGATAGTTATACTAACTATTTATCCGTTAAACTATATTATATACTTAACGCGATTAACCGTTAGCGGCCTAGTAGCTATAGAGAGGGCTATAAAAAAAGATAACTTAGAAAGGATAGCTTCCCTTTTAATTAGAACCCTTATAGAGGCCTCGAATATAGTAATACTAAAAAAGAGGCCTTATAAGAGATCTAAGCCCTAGTAGACTAATAAGCTAACTTACTTTTAAAAAGCCTTTAGCTTAGCTTAATAGGCTTATAGGCTAGCTTAAGATAAGGAGAGCTAAAAGAGCTTTATAGAAGCCTAAAATAGCTTTAAGTATATTATTAAGGCTACTAAAAAGTAATACTAAGAGAGTTTCTTAATAAAAGTAATAAGAAAGGATATCTTTATAGCTTTTTCTTATATTAAGGCTAGAGCTAACCTTACTCTTCTTAGTATCTTATATATAAAAGAAAAGATAGAGGTAAAAGCTAATACCTTTATAGAAAAATATAAGGCCTTTTTAATAACCCTTTTCCTAACCCTAGACCCTAGCCCTAGCCCCCCCCTTAGCCCCCCTTAAAGCCTAGAAAAAGAAGAGCCTCTAGGCTATATAAGTAGTAAGGGCACGGATAAGTAAGACTAGCTAGAGCTAAAAGACCCTAAGATTAAGAGGGCTATTTTTAGCTCTTTTAATAAGAAAGCCCTTAGCTTAGACTCCCTTAGCTTCCTCCTTATTTAATATATATATAAAGCTATCTATATAGTCTTTAATAGGGCTTATAAAGCTCTATTTAACTAAGGATACTACCTTAAGGTATAAAAGGAAGCTATAGGAATTATACTTCCTAAGTAAAATAAGCTAAACTATACTATCCCTAAGGCCTATAAGGTTATAAGTCTACTTAATTACTTAGGAAAGGTCCTTAAAAAGCTATTTACTACTTAGCTAAGCTATTTAGCTAATACGGCCGGGCTTCTAAACCCTATATAGCTAAGGGGATAAAAATAGTAGTTAGCTATAAATATAACCTTCCTCCTTTTATACTATATCTAAAAGAAGCGGGAGTCTAATAAGAAGGCTATTACTAATACCCGCTTATTAAATATAAAGGGCGCCTTTAATTTTATATCGAAGGAATAGCTTATAAGTATTATAAAGTAGGTAAAGGCGTAGGCCTAGGTATAGTCCGTTAAAAGAAAGTTAATAATCTATA